CCTTGAACCTAGGTGGAGCAGACAGGACCGGGGCTGAGCCAGGCCACGCTCCAGGCCAGTGGCAGAAGGCACTGGGAGCAGGGGTTATGCCCTTCTGCCGCTTGCCCAGCCAGGGCAGGGCGAAGCTCCTGCACTGCTTCCGGAGAAGCGGTGCACAGCAGCCGGAGCACTCCAGACTCTCTGTACCTCCTGGCCCCGCCCCAGCTGGGTGAGCAGCAGCAGGGCATGGGGGGGGCGGGGGGGCAGTTACATGCCCCTGGATCTGTGCAGGCAGGGCTGTACCAGGCTGTGCTTCGGGCAGGCAACAGAGGCTATGGGGACTTTTAGGATGACGGCAGCCCCCCCATAGTCCCTGCTCTGCCTCCTGCCCCACCCCAATCCGGGGGCATGCTTCCCCCCCCCATGCCCTGCTGCTGCCACTGCTGCCACTTGCCCTGCCAGGGCAGGGCGAGGCGAAGCCGTGGCTCGTCCAGGAGACATGGGGAAGCCAGGGCAGCTCCGACCACTGCACACTGCTTGTCCATAAGCAACGCAGTGGCTCGACCCCGCCCAGGGAGGGCGAGCGGCAGGAAGGCATAGCCCCTGCTCCCAGCGCCTTCTGACACCCGCCTAGAGTGCAGCCCAGTGCAGCCCCAGCCCTGCCCACCCTGCACAGATCTGGGGCTGGGGCTGCACTGGCCTCCCCAATGCCCTCCCAGACCAGTGGCAGGAGCAGCGGCAAGAACCACCAGACGAGCTGCCAGACAAGCAGCTCCTGGACTAGGGTCCCGCATCGGCAGGAGCTACCCACACCCTTCCCGCATCCCCCCACCCCGGCTGTGCATCCCTTCCCCCAGTCCCTTTCCTAACCCCAGCCCCAATTCTTTCCTCGCTATGGGGGTGTTGAACTGCGCCCCCCCACAACAGACTTACGCTAGAAACAGCTGTGTGGAGCATGGTAAAGGAAGCAATCCCCCATTGATAACATTGTTCCTATGAGAAAACTGGTTCTGAGTTACAACGTTTTGACTTAAGATGTGATTTTCAGGAACCAATTGCATCGTAAGTCTGAAGACTGCCTGTAATGAAAAGGGAGAATCTCTGATACCACCCAAAGGAGTCTGACAACACAATATTTTTACAACATTAGAATCCAATATCTGTACTGTAATTCTTGAATTCACTTAGAGCCTTTTTTTTTTTAAACTCAGTTCTACGATTGTATTTTTTCACATAAGTGAACTGGAAGAAGAACATATTTATTGTGAAAAATCTCACATACTTGACTAGTAGAAAGAACACATATGCTCAACTTCATAAAGCAAAGTAAGAGAAGTGTAACTGGCTAATATATGGAAGGAAAACTTAATACAAGTTAAGTGATATTGACAACACTAAAGTAGAGGTGCACCGATATTTTTTGAGCCAATACAGCTCAAAAAAATGGCCAATTATTATTTGATGGCCAATTATTAACTAGCTGTACCAGTTTGATCGCTGATATGCAGCCTGGAGAGCAGCGTCTGGCGGGTAAGTCTGTTGGAGGGAAGGGGTGTGGGGGAGGCAAACTGAAGCCCATGCAGTGAGGGAAGGACTGGGGCTGGGTCACAGGCAGGTGCTGCACAGCCGGAGGGGGGTAGAGAGAGGAGGGCAGGGTGCGGGTGCAGGATGGAGCTGGCGGTTTGTCTACAGACCACAGGGGGCGACTCCTGTCACTGCACGCACCCCGGAGGAGGCCCAGGGGACACATGCCCCCCAGATCTGTGAGCAGGGTGAGGGCGCACTCAGGACAGAGGCTACACCAGCCTCTTCCTGGTGTGAGGAAGGAAGCTGGCCCTGGGCTGCATTTGTGCCAGGGCAGCAGCAGCACTGTGAGGGAAGGCTACAGGGGGACAGGATACAGCCACCCCAAAATTCTCCATAGCCACCCCACAGCCCCCCCTCCCAGTGCCACTGCCGCCAGCCCTGGCCCTGTCCACAGTCCCTGCCAGGAAGAACCCAGCACAGCCCTGGCCCTGAGCGCACAGTGGCAGCCCGCCCTCACTCTGCACACACACCCCCCATACCTCCCCAGGGTGCACGCAGTGGCAGGAGCTACCCCTACCCATCCGCAGACAAGTCACCAGCTATACCCTGCGCTCTGGCCTGACCCCACTGTGCAGCGCCTGCCCCTGCCCCACTCCCTCCCTCACCATGGGGGCCTTGATCTGCACCCCCTACACCCTGTCCCCTCAACAGACTTACCAGCTGGACGCTGCTCTCCAAGCTGCTAGGCTGCACTCCTGGCCATCTGAAGGCTGCGGCTGGGCTCATGCATGCAGCATTTATCAGTGACATTATCATTCACATCAGCCCAAAAAAGCCGATTGCTGATATCATCAATTTTCCGTTTATCGGTGCTGATACACATCGGTCCATATTGTATAAGTGCACCCTACACCACAGTTTGCTAAACATGCACAGTAAGTTTTGAGAGATACACACACACACACACACACACACACACACACACACACACACACACTCTCTAAAAGCAAATGCACTTTACATCACCTAGGATATAAAGCACATAAGTAACTTCCCGTGCTCACTACCTATTCAAGACTTCATGGAATCGGGCTCATATGAGCCACAAAACTTCGAAGCGCTCATGGAGCTCACCTACTTCAACCTGATTAATCCAACTGACTGATCTTTTTGCACCTCTCTACTGGATAAAAATTTCTGTAAGCAGCTCCTCTCATAAATCATCAACAGGGAACATCCTCAGCAGACCATCCACTCCACGCTGACAGAGCAGAACATCCCTGGGGGGGCCAAAAGGAGCCAGAGAAAAGGATGCTGCTTCAGCTTTAGTTTTTAACTGTAAAAAATTCAACCAGGGAAATGGAAAGCAGAGCTGAAAGATGCCGCAGTTAAAAAGGGGAAGACAAGAGGGTTAAGAGCAAAGGCCCCAACACTGGAAAGGCTCCCACCTGCCCTTTAGCTGCAACTGAGGGCCGGCAGTCCTACCCCGAGCAGCACCGGTGTCTGTGAGAGGGGGGCAAGGAAAGGAAGCAGTGACGGGACGTGAAGTAGGAGGCAAGAGCTGTCAGGCCGGCAGCGGCAGCGCAACCAGGCTCCGCCCAGCGCTCCTCGGGAGGCCTCGCGGGCGGGGGAAGCTGTGGAGGGCTTCTGTCCCCGCGCCTCGGCCCAGGGCAGGGCCGGCCCAGCTCCGCAACAATGCCCAGGCACCAGCGCTGGCCGCGCCCCGCAAGCGGCAGCAGCTCCTGGCCCCGCGCTCCGAGTTTCGCTCCCCAGGACTTCCCACTTCATCCGCCTCCCTACGCCCCTGCACCGCACCTCGGACGGAGCGGCACAGCCAATGGGAGCGGGCCGGTGGGCGCTCTTGGCCAATGGGGCCGAACTGGGGGCGGGCGCCTGCTCGGGCTGCCCCGTGCGAAACGCCGGCGGGGAGGAGGGAGGGAGTTTGTGAGCTAGTACCGGGCCG